TCATTCTACTTACTGGTTGACTGACATCATACAAAACACCTAACTTGTCTAAGCACTAAGTTCTTCAGTTGCAAGATGGAGATTCTAGGGTGCCTGAGAAGTCGATTTCATATGAGATTCCCATCAGCAAACCAAGGGTTTAAATTTCTCCATATTCTCACTAATATTTTTCATTGTCGTCCTCCTCCTCCTCCTCCTCCTCCTCCTCCTCCTCCTCCTCCATATTAGCCATGCTAGTGGGCTTGAAGTGGTAGTATCCCATTGTGGTTTTATTTGTGTTTCCCTAAGGATCAGTGATGCTGAGCATCTTGTCATATGCTCGTTAGCCACTTGTATATTTACTCTGGTAGAATCCTTTACCATTTTTGAATTCAGTTATTTTTTCACTGTTGAACTGTTTGGGAATTCTTTACATATCCTGGATGTTAATCCTTTATCAAATATGTTATTTGTAAATATTTTTTCCCACTCTATAGATTTTCTTTTTATATTCTTGCTAAATTGTCTTTTATGCAAATGTTAGCAAATGCTTTACATTTTGATTTGAATAATTTATTTATATTTCTATTATTGCCTGTGCTTTTGGTGTCAAACTTAAGACTACTACCAGACCCAAGGTGATGAAGATTTTCCTCTAAGAGTGAATTTTATCTAAGTGAAATATACCCTTAAAATTATTAATAGTACATTTTATGTTTGGCATATTTTGTCACAATAAAAATATTTATCTCCCCAAAGATACCCAATAAACAAAGGGTTTGTTTATTGCAATCTCAGGATTAACAGCAGTAGATTTTATTTATTTATTTATTTCCTTTATTAAATTATTTATTTATTCTAATTTGTTATACATGATGGCAGAATGAAATTCATTTGGGCAGTAGATTTTAAATTAAAAAAAGAAGATTATTCTGCAAACTAGAGCTCATTCATGAAACTTCAGGCTGAAGAACTTGTGACTGACAAGTTTGACTTAGTGGATTGCTCGGACTCCTTTAGGTTTGGTATCAACGTAGGCCTAACTGCACTTTGCTCCTTGTGGCTCCACTGCCTGCCTAGTTCTGCCTTTTGAATCCACAGGACAAATCCAATCCCTTTTCCAAGTGGTAGCTCTCCAAGTGGTTGGTGGCAGCTGCCATGATCACAGAAGTCATGCTGTTTGATCACATGCTTCCCTGTGTAGAATGGGACATTCATTCTGAGGAAGGGGGGTTTCCCAGTAAAGAGACAAAGAAAGCAGGGCTTGGGGCTGGGAAGACAGGTGATACAACCAAGCAACAAATGGAGCTGGGATTTGAACCCTTTGGAGGTGTTCCTGGAGCAAAGGCTGTATTTTAGATGCCAGGCAATGTTGCCTCTTGGCCAGGTCCCAGGTTCCCCCTTAGCCTTCTTCTCCACAATCCCTTGGTCTTTTCTTATATGGCTTCCTTCTACATTCTTCTCCAGTCTATTCCCTCATTTGCAGTGAATATCAGGCCAGGCCCCACTAAGGCAAAGTCAAGCCCTTTTTCTTATTACACATAGGCCCACGTTTTCATGGATGCCCTATTGGACTCATTCTACAAGGTCCAGTGGCCCCACAGAGGGGGAGGATCATTAGAGGAAATCCATTCCAAGGCCCTAGCAGACTCCTTTTCCCTACCCCCATCATTTGCTAAAACCAGGGGCTGGCCCCACCTGTCTCTCTTGTAGTATCCTCCTAGGAGTTCCCGCAGAGGAAGATATTGCAATCTCAGGATTAACAGCCTGTTTGTTTAAAAGGCTTATTACTGGTTCTTAATGCTATTTTGACAGATGAAAGTGAGTCAATTAGAGCTGGAAATAGCTCTGGCTGCTTAGGTTTCTTCCAGGTGGCTACCCATTCCCCATCCATGGAACTTTTTCTCTCTTCACCAAAGAGATTCTTTTGCTTCTGTTATCCCTTTGACCCCCAAAACCACTCAAGAGTTTCCTTCTTCTGCAAAGATATGCTGTTGAAATCATGGATGAGGGTTGCTGTGACAGACCCTCTCTGTGACAGGGACAAAGTGAAAAAAATGCTGATGGGAGCCCTGACAGGTCAACCTCCGGGATAAGGAATATGAATGGCCTCAGTGAGCCCTGTGCTTTTATAGGTATCACTCTGGTTCCATCAGCCACAAATGCAGTTGCCCTGTATTGAATATCTTTTTAGGGTCTTTGGAACAATGGGTTCCCTGTGTCAACTCCCACCAAAATGCGTCCAATGTTGATCACAGGCTTGGGTACCTCAGAGTCAATCATCTTTGTGAGGGCAAGAGTCTTTTGTGGGTGGCTCACAGGGTTTCCCAGAGTTATGCTAAGGCCCCAGTGAAGGGCATTCCAATGCTTCCTGGTTGGTAAGGAGTCTGTACAATAGACTTTGCCTTGTCCCTGGAGCAAAGGTGTGATCTCCCATGTGGTTTGTTGGACAATTGGGTACAGGATAAGTGGTCAGAGTAATTGTAAGAGGCACCTCAAATTTATGCCCAAGAAAGAACTCTTCCTTAATGCTCCCAAACATACATTGACTTCTCTAGGTTCTCTTATGGAATATAATGCCACTATCCAACTGTTTGCTCACACTCAAATCCTAAATCATCCTGGATTCTTCTCTTTAGTTCATGCATAAAGGTCCTTAAATAGAAGGCATCAGCAGATCCTGTTTCCCGTCCCTCCACATTACAGAGCAAATTGGACCAAACTGATATACAGCCCATGCTACCATTCTTGTCTAAGGCATACTTATTTTCTGTCTGAGCTATCACAACAGCTCTCCAACACCTATTCCAGTTCTCATTGTTGCAAGAAAGATCTTCTAAAGACATAAGTCAGATCTCCTCTACAACTTCCATGGCTGCTCCTAAACATTTAGAGTCAAGACCAAACTCCTTACCATGGCCCACAATGCTAATTGTCTTCTAGTCTGTCTCTCTTGCCAATATCATTTCCTATCTTTTTCTCCTTGCTCACTCTGCTTCAACCACATGTGTATTTTTGCTGATCCTTGAATATATATTCCCTGGGTCCTTTGCACTTGAGAATCTTCCTTCTATCTGGAAGGTTCTTTCCCAGAACTGTATGTGGCTACTGTCATCTCATTCTTCAAATCTTAGCTCAAACCAACTTTATTCCAGAGAAAACCTTTCTGATAGCACTCTCTGTAAGTATCCTATTTATTTGCTTACCTATCATTTATCTTTCTCCATCAAAAATTTTGGGTGCTAATGAGATTAAGAATTTTATTTTTCACTATTGAATTACACTATCTAGACTAGGATACTGCACATAACAATCACTCAATAAACGGTGCTTATATTTTAAAATATGCTCATGAATCGTTTGGTACTCTCCCATTGAGAGGTGGGGTCTGTGCCCACTCCACTTGACTCCGGACCTCCTTAGTGACTGGTTGTCTAGTAGAGTATGATAGAAGTAACACTGTGGTCTTACAAGGACAATCAGTATCTGCCTTGGTCTCTGGACCATTTGTACTACATCCTGGGTCTCCATATAAGTAGTCCTACTGCTCTGAGGCTGCCATGCTGTGAGGAAGCTCAATCTAGCCCAAGTAAAAAGGCCACATTGAGAATCGCTAAGATTATATGAAGAGAGAGATGCAATCAATCCCAACTGTTCCAGTCCCCACTGTTCTACTGCCATCCACTATCTGACTGTTAACTGTAGAGACGTTGACAAGAACCATCAGCTAAGCCATTCCTGAATTTCTGATAATAGAAATTGTGAAAAATACCAAAAATAATGTTATTTTTCAAGTCATTAAGTTTTGAGGGGATTTATTTCATGTAATAGAAGACTAGAACAGAGAGAATGGATGCTTAACATCCAACTATTCTCTGGTGGCTGCTATAATGTGTACTATTCCTAACCAATTCACTGGTCCAAGTGCCTAGGCAGTCTATGCCAGGTCTCATGGATGGAAGAAAAGAAATGGGAAGTTGAAAATTACTACTTGTTTGGCTGAACTTTGAAGAGCCTCATCTGTGTGACCATGAGCCTTTTTACAGGAATAGTTCAGAACCTTCCCAACATTCTCTGGCTTCCTTAATTCTTCAAGTCCTTTTCTAGAATTAGACACCTAGTCCTAACCCAGAGAACCCCTACTTGATTATTATTATTTTAATTTTTTTTAGTCATAGCTGGACATAATACCTTTATTTTTAATTTATTTTTATGTGGTGCTGAGGATTGAACCCAGTGCCTCGCAGGTGTTAGGTGAGCACTCTACCACTGAGCCACAAACCCAGGCCCACTACTTGGTTATTTATATCAATCCTGCTCAAAACTCTTATACCTCTTCCTATTTCTTTCTGATTTCCTAGATGAAGTTTGTCTCCTGTTTCAGAGAGAGGAGCTGGTGGACCAAATTATATCCCATCAGACCCTCTTTTGATCTTTTAGCTTAATAAGCAGGAAATGTTCTGCACAGTCAGAGAATATTACACAGGGAAGTAGAGGTGATGACCATGGACAATGATAATGGAGATAGCACTGAGCGTTTCTTTGCTCATGGTACTAAGCGTTTCCCAAGTATTTTCTCATTTAATCTCCACATCCCTCCAATGTTACCATCCCATCCCTATTTTACTAATGAAGAAACTAGAGACATTTAGGTGACATATTTGAAGCCAATTCCTTTTGATCCTGATTTCCAGAGAAATCACCTACCTGGGATATATTTGATACACAAATGGCAAATATTTGATACACTAGCCACTTTCTCCCTTCCCAGGTTCGTGGCATCTGGTCCGACAGAACCTCTAGATCATTCTTACCATAGCTCTCCAAGTAGGTACGACCAATTGGTCAAAACTGACATGCCGGATAAGACCCTTTTGTTACCTCCCCAATTTCTCAAGGAATAGGGACCCAGAAAGGTCAAGTGACTTTCTAAGGTCATCCAGCTAATGGGTGGTAGTGCTGGGATGGAAATGGACTTGAGAAAGGAATATCACAGCCCCGTGCGCAGGGAGGTCGCTCACCCGCGGACAGCGTGCAGCAGGCGCAGCGAGGGGTACGCAGTACGCACGTTGACGTGGTGCTTCAGGATGAGCTCGTTGACCCACTCCACACGCTCCTTGCCACCCCTGGCCATGAAGGCAGGGATCCACAGGATGCTGCCATTGAGGCTGTGCAGTCGCTGCAGCAGCTTCTCCCGCCACGTGGCATTGACCAAGTCCTCGAAGGCCCGCTGGATGACCGAGGGGTTCATGGTAACCAGGTCGGTCTTGAGTCCTACATCCCGGGCATACTCCTGCACCGGAGCCAGGTTGCACCTGAGGAGGAAAAAGGCAACAGGGTCCTTTTAGAAAAGCTGAACCCTATTCTTACATGTAACCTTTTTAATTGTTTCCCTCTCCTTGCTTCAAACTCATCACCAAAGATAAACCCAGGGCATCTCCCTGAATGACGGACTTCTTTTGTTATCCTTATCCTCCTCCTGCCACAAATGTTTATTAAGCCTCAACCACATAGTTAGTAATTTACTAGGCCCTGGGGACACAAAGTACGTCCATTCTGGAGTTCAGGATCTAGGAGAGGAAGAAAGGGGCAAGAGAGGCAGCCCTCAGCTGCAAGATGAAGATGCTGTTGGCAAGTTGACCTGCTTGCAGGTGGCAGAGGGCGGGCTCTGAAGACAGACTCCCAGGTTTAAAACTCAGCTCTGACATTCTCTACCTGTGATTCTGGGCAATATACTCATCTCTCTGTGCTTCCCCAGGACTATGCAGGAGATCACAACAGCAGTCCCACGGGGATTACTTCAGTTACACATACCCAGTGCCTAGACCATAGCTGGGCCACACTAAGAGGCCCATGACTTCATCATTCTTACAGGGAGGAGAAAAAGTAGTAGGGGCTGATGACTGAGGGAGTCTAGAAGGATGAGCAGAAATCCAGTGGTAGACATGGCACAGGAAGAGAGTCTTTCTCCAATTTGCTAAAACGGAAGAATCACCTTGGGTACTGGTTAAAAGTACAAATTCCTCAGGTCCCTTAGCTGGAGAGCCATTCAGCTGGTTCCAGAGCTTAAGAATTCTCTCTCTCTCTCTCTCTCTCTCTCTCTCTCTCTCACACACACACACACACACACACACACACACACATACACTTTTTGCAGAGGGTGTGAAATAGCCTGAGTGCTCAGAGGAAGACAAGTGATTTGGTCTAACTGGGGCAAGTCATGTGAAGGAGATGGGGCTAGATAGACATGCTAGAGATGAGAGACATCAAAAGGCCTGTGTCAAAGACTTCGTTCAGAAGAAAACAGAGACTACTAAAGGTTCTCGAACAGGAGAGTGATATGAGCACATTTGTATTAGGCAACAAACAAAAAACCAAAGCTGTAGGATTCACTGGAGGGAAGGAGTTGGGTACCAGAGGATGAAATAAGAGGTCACTGAAATTGCTCATGAATCGGTCAGGCTGCCAGGATGGACAGATTCTTAATTATCTAGGGACTATCTTGGGGGCCTCTCCCATCCTCAAGGGTTCTGGTTTATATGAGCACACTTGGGCTTCTTGCCTGTACCAAGGAAGGCAGCAGGGGGCGCTGCTGGGGAGGCTTCCATGCTGCCTGGGATTTGATGGTAGAAATAAGCTTGAGAAATTAGAATAAGTATGTATAGAACGGAGGTTGTGAAGATGTGAAGACTGGGAGCTATATGCCATTGCCCGATGATGAAATCCAGAAAGACACTATTTACTCCTGGCTTTAAGAAAGGACTTTTCTTCTGCAACTGGGTAGAAAAAGTAGAACAATTAGAAAGAAAATGAACATTATGGAGCCCCTGGTGTGTGCCAGCCACTTGGCTAGTCATCAACAGAGATCAGTTCATTGTACTGTGACCCATTTTTAGTCACCCTCTTTTTACAGATGAGCAAACTGAGGCACAGAGTGTTCCAATTAAGTTGCCCAAAGTCCCAGGGTTAGTAAGAGAACCACCAGGATTCGAACCCAGTTGTGTCTGATTCCAAAGCCTGTATAACTATTTCCAACTGAGCCCCGCCCCCTCCATTCCTGCCCTCAGACCTTGCTATCTCTGATTGTAGTTAAATATTGCAGGGAAATAGAATTGCTGGAGGACACTTTCAGGAGCCCCTGCCACAGGCTGCAGAGATTGGGGTATTATTGCCAGCCACATTATCCAGTCTTGTGCCACCTTGGTCTTAGTTACCTATTGCCCTTAAGCTGTGCTGAGCCAGGATTCCCAAACCTTCCCTGATGGCTGGGGCCTCCTCCAGACCAACCTCCAGTTCATAAGAGCAGGGTCAGGTGGACTCAGTGAAGTTGAGACTTACTGAAGTCAACTGCAGGCCAGTAGGAGCTGCGGGCAGGCAAAGAAGGAAGCAGACAGCAGTGTGGGATGCCATTCTCTGGAAGGTGCTATGAAACCCCAAGGCACACGGGCTCCTGCTCACAGTGGAGGCTGGGAGGTTCAGGCTATTCCAGTGACCAAGTCTCAGTGAAGATGCCTGGGGGCTTGGGGGCAGGGGGCAGCTGTGCCCTAAATGGATGCTTTAGGTGTACTTCTTCCCCACACTGCTTCATTTATGGAGAAAGGGCAGAGTCAGGAAAGGCTTACACCTGTTCTAGGCTCTCTTCTGTCCAAAGAATTCTGGGTGGGCTGTGAGAGGGCTTGGTTCTGGGCAGAAAAGGAGTAAAACTTTTCCAGAAACAACCATATTCATAGGTCTACACTGAGCCATCTGCAGAGTGAGGGAGGCAGGTATATGGGCTCTGAAGCCAGACTGCCTGGCTCTGGCCCTCACTAGCTGTGTGCCTCTGCACTTTCTGTGCCTCAGTTTCTTCTCTACAAATTGGGGATAAAATAAAATATGCCTGTTCTGCAAGAACTAAATAAGCTAATACTGGTGAAGTGTGTAGAATAGCACACGGTACATGCCAAGTGCCCAGTGAATGTTCAGGGGTGATCTGAAAGGTTATTTATCTGTGAAAGGTCATTTGCTGGTAGGATGCTCCCTGTGGAGGGGTTGTGCTTGTGTGTGCACATGTGAGCACACAATGAACTCTTGATCCCTAAACTTCCGGGAACTCCCCCTGCTCACATGGCCCTGAGTCAGCCATGGCCTCCTCACCCTGGCACTTCAGGCTCCTGTCGTTCTCCTAGGACCAGCCCTCCTGCCCAGCCTGTCTCAGCTGCACCTCGTGCAGCCTGTGCTTGCTCAAGCCGTTGCCTCCCTGATCCCTGAACCTGTATTTCTGCCTCCATGATTTTCTTCATGCTCTTCCCTTCTCCTCCTCACTTTCGTTGGTCCAAGTCAGCCACACTCAAATCCCACATCTTCCAGAAGCCCAGGAGGTGCCATGTTTTGCAAGCTCGTTGTGTTTATGTGCTCTGTGTCTCACCAGAACCCCCAGCTCATATTTCCCATTCAGTTTTCTTAAAGGGAGTAAGGTCCTATGTGTCTCTGAGACTCTCACACAAAGGAGGGACCCAGGGTGGACTGATTTAATTGAAGACTCAGATTAACATGGACAGAGACATCTCCATCAGGACTGTCATGGTGCCTGTCATCTTGGCAGAACCACGGGGAGCTTATTGGAATAGCAGAGTCTCATCCATGTCAACCACATGCAGGCCCTCCTCTGTGCTGCACACAGCCTTGGCCTGGAGGTAAAGATGGACATAGCCAGCTGGGTGCAGTGGTGCACGCCTTCAATCCTAGGAGGATCAGGAGTTCAAAACCAGCCTCAGCAAAAGTGAGGTGATAAGCAACTCAGTAAGATCCTGTCTCTAAATAAAATGCAAAATAGGACTGGGGATGTGGCTCAGTGGCTGAGTGCCCCTGAATTCAATCCCCAGTACCCCTCCAAAAAATAAGATGGCATAGCTATTCTGCTTTGGAAGAGCTCACGGTCTAGGTGCATGCGTGTGGTGGAGACATAGGGTAGACAAAGAATTAACAATAAATGTGCCACACCACAACAGGACACGTTGTCTGAGGAATTTCCAAATGTCATCCCTTTAATGCTTACAACCTCATACTCTCTTGACTGTGTGTGTGTGGTAACAGAGCATGCTATGGCCCTAAGTGCAGGCTGCACACCAGCAGCAGTGACATCCGCTGGGAAGCTTGTTAAAAATGCAGAGCCTTGGTCCCCACCTCAGACCTGAGACTCAGACTTTTAATAAGCCAGGCGATGCACACACATTCCCATTTGAAAAGCACTGGGCTAGAGCCTGGACAGGATTCATAATGGAAGAACTTAAAGCAAGCCCAGGCCACCCATTTTACAGACAGTTAAACTGAAGCCCCAAAAGACAATTCAAGTGATGTGCTCTGAGCCATGTGACAAATGGGCATAAGAGCCAGAAACCACACTATTTACCGTGTGTGCCAAAGAGGATGCTGTGAGCCAAAATCAGCCATTGCCTCCTGAAATTCCTGAGGCAGGGTTTGGTGGAACACAGAAAGCTCGCTGTTGAAAGTCATTCCTCGTGGCAAAGAAAAGAGGCATGGCCTATATGTGTTCCACGAGACCAGCAAGGCCTCCCTCAAGCCTGCCCGGCACCTTGGAAGGGATCTGGCCTTACCAATAACACCCACCACACCTTTGCTCCTCTGGCCTCCAGTCAGACAGATCCACCATGCTTCCTTCCTCTCCCCCAACCAATCTTTAGCCTGAAGGACTTTGAAAACTAAGGGCTAAGCCTTTGGTTATACCAGAGACAAAGAGACCTGCCAAAGATGAACAAAATGGAAGCCACTTTGGCTACCAGACTGCGTAGCTCTCCAGTCCTAGGGGATACTAAGGTAATTAGAGCTGTTCCTTCCCATGTCCTTAGGTTCAAGGAATTCTATGATCAGATCATTTCCCAAAGTCCAGGGACAAGACTTTCTTTGCATCAGGACAGTCCCAACAGAAATATGAGACACAGTGTGAGGTTCTTCCTGGGCCAGGAGCTATTTGGAATGAAATCCGAGGCTCCAAGTGCCCTACTTTTGACCAGGGGACAGCAAAGCCTTGTTTTCAAGTCTGAATGGGCTGGGGCTAGGTGTTCTTGGCCATGGGTCCAAACTGAGTCCAAACATCCCCAGAGACTGAAAAATGAGAACTGATATTTTAGAGAAAATGATGGTCAAGTACAAAATCCAAGTTTCGCTGTCACTCCCTCACTTCAGACTTTGACTACAGCATGATGAAGTTACTAGTAGAGTGCCACCCTCCAGGACGCTACAAAGAGCTTTGCCAATTTGGACCAACAATCCAAGTCAGCCAGGAGATTTTCTTACTAACCTTTTGTGCCAGGCTCTGTTTAGAGGTTAACAAACTTTTTCTGCAAAGGTGCTAGATAATAAATATTTTCTGCTTTGCAGGGTATACGTTCTCTGTGTTGCTTTAGCAACAACGCTTCAGCTCTGCCCAACTACTGAACTCTGCATCATGAAAAGAAAGCAGCCATTGAGTGAAAATGAGCAGAGTGGCTGTGTTCTAATAAAACTTTATTTATAAAAATGGGGGTGGGGGCGGCTGGATGTGGTGGTACATAATTATCATTCCAGCGACTTGGGAGGCTGAGGCAGGAGGATCACAAGTTCAAAGCCAGCCTCAGCAATTTAGCAAGGCCCTAAATCACTCAGTGAGACCTTGTCTCTAAATAAAATACAAAAAAGGCTGGGGTTGTGGCTCAGTGGTTCTGCATCCCTGGATTCAATCCCCAGTACCCCCCCCCCAAAAAAAAAATACTAAAAAAACAACAACAGGCAGTTTGCCTCCCACTGCTCTGGGTTAGTGATTCTCAACCTTGGCTGTGCACCAGAATCCCTGGAGCTCCCTTGGCCATACCTGCCCTGACTCCCTTATCCCCCAGATGATTTAATTGGTTGGAGGTACAGTCTGGACACTGGAGATAAAGATCCTCAAGCAGCTCCCATGTGCATCAAGGTTGAGAATAGGGACTAAGCCCACCAATGTGTCTTGTTTCAATCTTTTGGGACAACAGCAATGCTCAGCGTCAATATACCTGCTGCTCTGGGCACCAGTGCAGGTGGTTACCTGATGACGAAGCTGTGCGTGTCAATCTCCTGCCCGCAACCACTGTTCAGCAAGACCCCCGAGTTGCCCACAATGGCACAGGTCCGGAAGTGCTTGTTCTTCAGGGGCGAGGTTCTGGGGAGGAGCTCGTACAGGTTCTGGGACACGTTCATTGTACTGTCACGGTCAAAGATGTAATGAATAATGTCTCCGGGCTTCAGGGTCCCCTTGAGGACGGAAATATCCTTCTCAGCATCCAAGAACTTTAAAATTTGCTTCCTATAGAAACCAAACATGCATGAGGAAAGTCTCTATGTTGCTAGATGCACTTTGCCAAACCAGATTTTCCTGTCCTATGTCACTGTGTGGGGCTGCTGCACCCCAGCAAGTAGGTAGAGAATAGCAAGAGTTCAGATACACTCTAGGATGGGTTCCAGGACTGACAGAAGGCCCCAGGATAGAAGGAGGTCCACCATCCAGGCTTATGTATGGCACTGAATGTTCCTTGTCCCAGAAATGTTTTAGTTTGGGGTAAATTCAGACATTTGGCCCCCCTGCATCACACTCCTCTCAGAGGGATTCAGTGCTACCATGTGAGAGGGAGTCCTGAACTAGGGACATTAAGCCAGGATGACACAGGCCTTCAATCCTCATTGGCTTATTTTCTTTCATGGGCAGAGAGGCCACATGGGTGTGAGTGGGAACATGATACTAGGAGGGGTACCACCCCTTCCTCCTCTGAGACACTGTGAGGGTGGCTTGCCACTTTGCTGGCTTGTCCATTGTGTAGGGTGTGTCTCTGGCTCCCCCCGACCTGGAACAGGGTTTGTGAATCTCACCATGTCCCTGGTCCACAAAGGAGAAAGGCTCCTTTGTGGTGTTTCAGAACAAAGGTGATCAAAGGGCAGCTGTCTAGTCCTGGGTAACTTTGACTTAGAAGGCAAGTTCTAGAATCATCTAGAAAAGCCCAAGAAAAGGGATGGGGTTGGATTAGGGAAAGAATGGGTGTCCTTATGGAATCCCCAGGGGAGTTTTACTTAAAACACACAGCCTTCTTCCAGGAACCTGAGCATCCCAGCCAGCTGCCTAAATCACTCAATAAATCTTCAGAGATAATTCAAGCCATAAAGAGAAAGGAATTGGCTACTCAATAAATAAAATAAATTTCATCTCCTGTCGTGAGCCCCTATCTAGACAGACCCAGGGATGCTGGCCTCCCTTCCAACAGAGCTTTGGAGGCACAGAATGCTCATGCTGTCTTCAAATGTGAGGATGTGCAGGATGGTTGCCCCATTGTACAAATGGTGATGCTGAAGCCCAAGAGGCTGCTGGATTTGAAATGTGCACAGCCTGTGAATATCACAGGAGGCTGTACGATCAATCACTTGAGAACTATGGAAACTTCAGAAACTCCAGCTGACACCTAAGACATCCTGATTCTGAGGGGGGCTGTGATTTGCTCAGGTTTGGGGGCTCTCGCATGGCCAAGGAGTACCTAAAACCCTTGGCCAGGTATGACATTCTCCATTCACTTGTCTTTCCACATTTGTGACCCTGATCTCTTGCTATTATACAGGGGAAATCACCCTTGCTGAATAATTTGTTCCTTTTGATGGAAAACAGGTGCTATTTTTTTTTTAAACCAGGTTTACCAAGGATTACATAACTCGGCTCATTCATATAGTTTGGAAATTACTAAAACCCTTGCAACTACTTACCCCAAAGTATTTAAAAGCAAAGAGAGTCCCTAGAAAGCCCATAAATAAATACCTCTGTGAGGGAATTAATTTCTAACTAATTATGAGAAATGACTATCAATTATTAAGCATCATTGCAAATCACTTGCAGAATCTTTTATTATGAACAATTTTGGTGATTAACTGACTGAAATAGAGGGAGATTCCTTTTCCTTCTGGGTGAAAACAATTGTTCCTCTGAAGGTAGCCGGGTGTTTCCAGGATCCCCATGGAGGCCACAGTCTGGTCTTCGAAAGCAAAGTGCGGGAGCGTGGGTAGGCATGTGGGTGTGAGTGTGTGCATGTGTGTTTCTCTGCCCAGTGGCAAAAGGAAGGGCTAGAGAGAACTGCAGCTGGGGTTGTGTTGCCAGGGGAATTTCACTAACAGTTACAGCAGTGCTGTACATGGTGGCCATTAGAAATAAATGTTCACCTCCTGACCCCTGGAACATGTGAATGTGACCTACATTTGGAAATATCATTTTTGCAGATGTAATTAAATTAAGGATCTGGAGATGAGATCACCCTGGATTACCCAGGTGGGCCCTAAATCCAATGACAGTATCCTATGTGAGACAGGAGAGGAGACTAAGCAGACCCTATAAGGATGACCTCAGAGACTCGCATCTGCACCCCTGTTCTGTGACAACCCTCCAGTTTTCCCACAGTGAGCTGGAGCCCCCAGAAGCTGGAAGAGGCAAGAGGAGGGGTCCCTCACCTATAGCTCTTGGTGGGAATGTTCAGGATTTTGGCCTCCATTCCATGAGAGACTAATTTCTGTAGTTTCCAACCATCAATTAATGGTAATTTGTTGTGGCTGTCAAAGGGAACTATGTGGTGGTCTTGCTGACTCCAGGTGCCCTGGTCACAGGGGGCAGACTGACAAGGCTGGAGGACCTCCCCACACAGCCTCCGAGGAGACACTGAAGAAGTGGGAAGCTGGCGGATGATGGAGTCCAAGGACATCTCTTTCAGATGGATTCCCAGCTACCTGACCCATAGATCTCATTCCTCTCTATTACCATACCCCTCATGTCCTCAAACAAACCTCAAGAGCTAGGGAGTGGGGCACTTCCTACCTGAAGGAGCAACTCCCTGATGTGTGGCAACATTGTTGGTGGCTATTCTCCACTCCTTCCCCATGCTGATGGCCTGGATGGCCATCAGAGCTCTCCTTAGCTGGTCCTGGTTGTCCTTCACCTTCATCTCCATTTCTCTATTCCTCACCTCCTTGTTGGTGCTCCTGCAGCACCCAACACACACATCAGACTTCAATCTCTGTGCATGTGGGATGTGGCTTGGCACATCTGGAAAATTCCAAGTTGTCCTTCAAAGCCCAGTGCTCTAGACCAGCCTTTCCCAGCAGTCCTCTAAGACCCCTTGCAGAATGAAAACGGCTCCTCATTCCAACCTCCCTGTTTCCACCTGTTGCTAAGATGCAATACCACCGAATGAGTATGTCCTCCTCCTCTGTCCTGTCTTTGCTTCTTTTTGTGTTTCTCTGCCTAACACTTCTGATTCATGTCAGCACCTTGGGATGGCAACACAATGCTTGGAAATAAATAGAATATACTGACTAATATTTGCTAGGTCAATCATGGCTACATCTAAACTAAGTGTCCAGGGATGCTGTAATTATAATTCTTCTCCACATTTCCTCAATCCTACTCTCTGGGGAAGCAGACTTCTGTTTTTAGGGTCAGGTGTCATGTCAGTTCCTGGGTCTCTCAGCTAAGGGTTTTTATTTTCATGTTGTGGGAGAGGGGCAGGCTTTCAAGCCACAAGAACTATGGGAGGGAACAGCTCACCCTGGGCAAGTGGAGGACAAACAGGGTGCAGATGGCAGGCAGGCTGAAAGAGAGAGGCCACCCGTGGCCTCCATTTCCCAGGTGCTGTACGGCCCTAGCCTAAGCCAGGTATCTCAGCAGGGAGTTCCTGCCACCTCCTCTGCCCAATTTGCTATGTACACATGCCAGGTTGCTGGGCTCAGTCTGGGTTTTATTTCCAATTGATCGTTTACAGATGAAGCTTGTCTCTGCAGGAGGTAAACATTTTATTTCTATTCTACTTCTTTAGATGATGGAGAGGGACAATTTGCAGGCTTGCACTGGAGAAGGCCAAGCCTGCCTCTTGTCCTATAGGTAATTACCAGTACCTGATCCTCAGAGAGAGCGTCTGGTTGTGTCTCCATTTGGACGAAGCTGGCTGTATGTTGTGTTTAATGCTTTCATTACTTCTGTCAACGACAGCTGGAGATGAGGAGCCATTTATTACAACTTCGGCTCTGGAAAGAGGGAAAAAAAAATAAAGACGAAGGTAGACATGATCTGTTAGCATGCCAATGACAAGTCTAATAGTTTTGTTTTTGCACGAGCTTGAATGTAAACTTCAGAAGAGCAAAATTGCAGTTATTACCTGAGAAGCGAAGGAAGTCTATTTATCTTCTAGAATGCACAAACTCTCTCCCTCGGGTATAACCTACATACATTCTTAGAGACGGGAAGGGGGGGTGATAATACTATTTTTCTACCCCTCCACCCTCAATGTTTCCTCCCAGTGAAACCTGGCAGTCACACCAGAATAGTAATGTTTCCTATTTAAGCTATTGATAAGAAACTCCACAAGTAACAGTTCTATTAGCTGCAAAGCATCATACAATGGCTTGCAAACTCAATAAAGAGAAGACAAAAGCTTATGCCAGGACAAGGTCTCTGTAGACTGCGGCTTCTTCCTCCTCCCCCACATTCCCATCACTCTTTTGTTGACACAAGAAACATCTGCCGGTGACAGAGTTATTCATGCTGTGTCTCTCTGTCCTACTAGAATGCAAGCGGGGAATCTCTTGCACACATTCCTACATTCCCTCATGGTCTAACATAGCAGGTGCTCAATAAATAAGTGTTGAATTTGACTCTGAAATTGATCCTGGGGGAGCTTGGAGTGGATGAAGGAGCTGACTGGCTTTGTGTGCCTGGGATGGATCACAATTCTGGGTATAAACCATCTTTCCACCTGACTCAGTAACACCGGGCATTAGAGGACTCACTTGAATTCAGAGACTTGAAATCTATGCTACTAGGTTTCTAAGAAACTAGGCTACAATTATATCTTTAAAGGCAGCACGAAAGCCAGGCTGCCTTCTGCTGTATGCACGCAGATGCATTTGGGTCACATCCGAAGTTCCTTTTGTCTGGGCTGACAGCAGGTCCTCCCAGTTAGAATGATAAGTGGATTTGTGATGCTGAATTCTGGGACTTTAAAGAGTCTAAACCAAACATCTCTGTCCTTTCCAAGTTAAAAGAGATGAAATCCTGTTAGTGAGCTCTAAACCCAATGTTTCCTTTTCCTTTTTTTGCAGGTAGAGGAGAAATCCATGTGGGGGTGTATATTGTCTCCCTCATTCCTCCCACTCACCCACCTCCATTCCTCAATACTCCTGTCTCCTCTGGATGCTACTACTCATCTCAGATCCAAATATATGTAACTTTGCAGAGGACAGACAATGAAAGGCAGGTGGACTTCTAGCATGCAGTTTTAAAGGAGTCTATAAGAGGAAACAGAAAAGCTGACCCTTTGGAATACTGACTATTTTCATGAAAGAAAGCAGAGTAGAGTGGAAGGATTTCGTAAGCTGTGTGACTATGGATAAATCGCTTTACTGCTCGGAGACATCGTTTCCCTATTTATGGAAGGAGAGTGTAGAAGAGGAAACTCTCCAGCCCTGAGGTTTTAGAGCTCTAAAAGGACCACCGGTATTCCCTGCATGTACCACTGGCTGCTCTTTTATGAGGCTTCAGGAGGAACTGGTACGGCTGCATCCTTTTGGTACAGCCTACTTCTGTGACCACAGGCAGGGGCAGTGACCTTGGGATTATGGGTTCAGCAGTTATATCCCAATACCCTAAGCTTTACCACAATTTACAGTAGTATAAGTGACAGAGATGCTGTAATGTTAGTGGTAAGGACTTGTTAGGATAAGCCTAAAGGGCTTGCTGATGCTCTCATAAGTGACCAGGGCCCAGCATCTCATGGCTTTAAGTAGATTCAGTCCTCGTGATGCTCCCTAGAACCTGGGGCATATTGCAGGGGCCCAGTGTTGCTCAGGAAAGAGGCACCTGCAGAGGTAGGCTATTGCAGAGGTTTGCAGAGGGGATCTGCTCAGAGACTTCCAGAAGGGCTTTTCAGATGTATTTGAGACACAAGGTGGTGAAAGCAGGAAAGGGGAAGAGATAAATGCTGCCCTGGAGAGCAGCCAAATCCTGTTTCTGTCCCTACTTTCTACTGTAACCTTGGATGGGACCTTGCATTGCTGCAAAATCTTACTGGACTTACTGGACCCTGGCTCTGTTGCTACCTGGCTGGAGGATGTGGGAAAGTCACTTTGGGTTTCTGGCCTCTGCCTTGTTATCTGTCTCACAAGGTATGGATCAGATATCCCCAGGGACTGCCTCTATGAGGAGGTCTTCTCGCGTGTTCTGTGTCATACAAACACGGCTGGACTGCAGAGCTGAAATATCCCACTTTAGTGAATGTGCCCTCCTGTTCTCAGTGCTCTCCCTGATCCCCTATGTGGCACCTGGGGTATGTTTCAGCCTTAAGCTGTGTCACTTCCCAACTCCCAAAACACACCCTGAGTCACCATTTTCTCATACCACAAACACACCCACAGTGATAATAACAAGCGTCATTGGAGTATCTTCATAAACTCTTACATTCAATAGTTCTAATCCCTCCAAGGATGTATTGCATTATTATTCTATTTGCATGGCAAGCTGAGGTGCAGAAGGTGACACTACCTACCTGGGGCCCTAGCTAGCAAACTCAGGAGCTGAATCCAGGGCTACCTGGCTTCCCAAGACAGTTCCCACCTCTCCCACTCTATAAGCCCAAACCTCCGCAAGTTACCATGGGGGCTCGGCCTTGAGGGGAAGGATCTTGTTTCTCCCAAAGGGGGTATCTTTCCACAGTGGAACAGAGAGGAATTTAGGCACACATGGCCTTGCCCTTTATTTCTGTAATATTTGCATGGTAGCTTCAAGTGGTCAAGAGGTCACTGGAGATCTAGAAACAACGATGTCAAGGACAAAAGGGGCAGTTTCTGAAGTCAGTCACACAGAGTCAGGGACAGATGTACTTGACAGGTCTCTTAAGGTCAAAAGACCCAGGAAAAAATATGGAAAGGCAAATAACAAACTTGTCTTCTGAATAACATGAACTCTCATTCCCAGCATGAACAAAATAAGACATTTAGAAGCAAGACAAAAACTTCAGTTCGAGCAGTGGCCTTTGTTTATGTCAAGTATCTTGGCACTTCCTCCATTGCTCCTTCAGCTTGGGCTTCTGAGACTGAAGGTCAGAGGTATGGGGCACTTGTCATTGGTGGAGAAGGGGACTTAGAAGCACAGTGCAATCACAGCCAGTGGCAATCCTGGGTCTGCTGGCTTGCAAATTATCTGCATGCTCCCCTGAGTCAGTCTGTGCCCTAGTCAAGCTCTGTCCCCAAGGCTTCCAATGTAGCATCATCACATCACATAAAATAATAAAGCTCTTTCAGAATTCAGAGTGCACCTTAAATGATCAGGGTTAACATTACTGAGTTGACTCCCTACATATTTTAAGGGGTCTCAGCAAAGTTCTTGAATGTATTATTTCCATCTTAACCTCCTGAACAAGCCATCTACCACAATAAAACTGGGTTAAAGTCCTGGTTTCCTTCAGGGTCTCCACCGCTCAGCAAAAATGCAAGTTTCAAGTAAGTTCATTGGTGGCCCAAGCTCTACAAAGTAGGTAGGCTCTTCTCCAGAAAGTAACTCTTAGCCATCTGCATTTCCATCTCTACAGCCTCTGGACCTTAGACCATTTCATGTGATCTTTCATCGACAGCTTCCCCCCAAAAGTGATTAGGGAAATGCAAAACCAAAGTGAAATGAAACAGATCTATTTGCTAAGTAAGAAGGGCACCATACAGCAAAGAGGAGAAGCAGATTAATAGCTGCCTTACAGCAAAAACAAATGAACACAAAATCTAATTTACAAACCTATTAGATTTGCTATGTAAGCTGTTCACAGCTGATCTGATTGTACCTCTGCCTCCAGAATTCCTGCAAGACAAAGGAAATGCATTATTTATAAACCCAGTTCTTCCTTGCAAAGCCCTCTTCAATCACCAGGAGACCCCACAGCTCACCTGGAGGGCTACAGAGGGAGAACGAGATCGCACTCCGGACTCTCCAGAATGGGCAACATCCTGGTCCCAGCCATAGCCCAGGGGGTGGGCCTCCCAGCTCCTCCCGTGCTTCCCATTTGAACCCTTAGAATTAGCACCAAAGTTCTCATTTGAGATTCCCATTTGAGTCTGGAAATAAACCCCATTGGAGTTGGTCTCCCCTGGTTAATCACACAGGACAGCAGGATTCAGCATGACTCAGTGTCTGTTTTAACATGACTTAGCCTTTGCTCTTGCATGGTGCAGCCTCTATTCTAGCACTACTAAGCACGCTTCAACACCTGCTTTAACTTGACTCTACATCTGTTTTGGCATGACTCAGCTCCTGCCCACTGTTGCTTTCATTCATACGTGGTAAGATGTCTACCACAAATGCCATAACTTTATTCTCTTTTATTGCTGAGTAATATTCCATTGTGTATATATGCCACATTTTTTTTTTATCCATTCCTCTACTGAAGGGCATCTAGGTTGGTTCCACAGTTTAGCTACTGTGAATTGTGCTGCTATAAACATTTATGTGGCTGTGTCCCTGTAGTATGCTATTTTTAAGTCCTTTGGGTACAGACCAAGGGGTGGGATAACTGGGTCAAACGGTGGTTCCATTCCCAGTTTTCCAAGGAATCTCCATACTGCTTTCCACATTGGCTGCACCAATTTGCAGTCCCACCAGCAATGTTTGAGTATACCTTTTTTTCCCCACATCCTCACCAACACTTATTGTTGTTTGTCTTCATAATAGCTGCCATCCTGACTGGAGTGAGATGAAATCTTAGAGTAGTTTTGATGTGCATTTCTCTAATTGCTAGAGATTATGAACATTTTTTCATATATTTGTTGATTGATTGAATATCCTTTTCTGAGAAGTGTCTGTTCAGGTCCTTGGCCCATTTATTGATTGGGTTTTTTTTTTTTTTTTTTGGTGCTTAGCTTTTTGAGTTCTTTATATAACCTAGAGATTAGTGATCTATCTGATGTGTGAGGAGTAAAAATTTGTTCCCAAGATGTAGGCTTGGTGACTGACTCATAGTGGGGTAGGGAGGGGAAGCATGGGAGGAATAGATGAACTCTAGATAGGGCAGAGGGGTGGGAGGGGAAGAGAAGAGACAAGGGGTTAGCAATGATGGTGGAATGTGATGGACATCATTATTCAAAATACATGTATGAAGACATGAGTTGGTGTGAACATACTTTATATACAAACAGAGATATGAAAAATTGTGCTCTATATGTGTAATAAGAATTATAATGCATTCTGCTGTTATGTATTTAAAAATAGAATCAATTAAAAAAAGAAATAAGATTTCTAGAAAGGCTTTCTGATATGCAAGAAGGAATGGTGAGTGAAATATTGAGAAGTGTGTGAGTAAATAAAAATAGTGTTGACTAATAATAATAAAAAAAAAGATGTCTACCATATTCTCTCCGAACCTGAGACACCAGAACTTCAACAGAGGCAGCAAGATTAACTCAACAGTTTAAAGTTTAACTCAATAACCAACTGTGACAACAATTTGCTTTGTGGTAGCCGGATAAATAATGTTAATGGTGTCACCTTGCAAGGGGTTGGGGGCAGGAGGAAGGTGGGGAGGGAGTCCTTTATTATTTCCTTTGGTGGAGAAGGTTTTGGAGGAAAAGTGTTCTAAGGCCCTTTCCAGTCCCACCTTCTATTTAACTCTGATAAATTCCATTGCCTGACACACAGTTTCATCACCACACTTTGCTATCATACAAGTGCAGGGCAGATGAATGTGCATGTCCCTGGGACCCCACTTTGTGTCCCACATGTACTTTAGAAAAGTTGTACGTAAGACTAATTATTTTTAATAATTAAAAAACATTTCCCACCAATTTACAGAGTGTGTGGTTTGGGAAATACTTTGTAGTTCTCTCATTTTTTTAAAGGTCTATTTAGCCTTTCAAGCAAGGTATTGATGTGATCCAAAGAAACAATTACAATCCTTCGGAAGCCATGCATTTGTAGGAACTCTATGATTAAATGAGAATTCTTTGGGGCAAAGTTAAGGTCTAGCTACACTGATTTTGAGTCTGGATTTTTCTAGCTGTTTTCCTTAGAATTAGGGTACTTATGTATGTCTCTCTCTCTCTCTCTCTCTCTGTGTGTGTGTGTGTTTACATATGCATGTATTTTCTGGATATATTGAAATGTCTTTTATACATTATTTGGCAACAGGCAATATCCTCCCATTTCACAGTCAGATTCTGGACAACAGGACAGGACTCACCAGTGTCTTATTCTGGTCTCCCTTTAGGTTTTAAATTTTATCCCTCCAAATCTAGTTCTCAAAGACACAGTACCATTTTAATTTAACAGCTGCTACTCAGTTGATCTCTCTTCATTTTCCGTTGGGAGGCAGAGCTCTTGTACTGTCCAGTTGGAGTCTGGGAATGCTCAGCCAGTTCTGGTCCTTGTAACCAGAGTCCACTCAGCTTTGCTGGGTGTGCTGCCCCACAGGTCATCATCCTTTCACACCCAGCCCCCCAACCCCAGCCCTCAAAATCAGCCCTCCTTGTGGAGATAACCTGCTAGGTCAGATATCAAGCTGAGTATAATAATTAAAAGCACAGTAATAGCCAAGTCTAATGAAAGGTTAACGAGGCAAAAGAGATCACCCAGAAAAGCTACATTGAAGAATTGATGTGTGTTAAAAAAAAAAAAATCATTGTCAAAGAAAATTCTAATTACTGGTTTGGAGTAGCTGTTTAACAATCTGAGGTAAGATGGGAGGAAGTCAGTTTGGCCCCCTTCTCTAGACAGCATAACAAGCTTCAAAAGGAATTAGCCAATGTTTCCCAAACTTCAGTGATTCCCACATCCCCTTCACCAGCTTTCCCTATCTATCACCCACACACTGTCAACTACTTAACTTTTAAAAAAGGCTCATCTTTAAAAACTTGCCCTTATCCTAAACAATTCCATCTGGGAAACACAGGTTTGACAACATCATGATTACATACCTATTTAAAAAACTCTCAAAACCATTAATTCAAAAATATTTACCATGGAATTCCTAAAATCATCTACATTATCACAAGGAGTACCAGGAGTACTTGCACACCCTCAGGGGAAGGACTGGATTGAACAGTTAAGTATTTAAAGGAGGCAAACCATAAGAAATTAATAGAAAAAGGAGGATAATACTTATCGAGTCTCTGATGAAGGTTGATGAATGTATGTGAAAGACTTTTCTTTTTTTAATTCAGAAGGATACAAAGAAATCATAGAGAATGCAGACAGATCTGATTTCATAAAAACCTAAAACTGCTTATACAAAAAGCAAACCTCAACAAGCCCAGCTCGGTGATTCTTCACAAATCTAGGAGTGCTCCAGGTGAGGCCGACACTGCTCCCAACTGAATTTTTAAAAATCATAAAAATTTCTTGATGAATACACCATTTGGGACTCTAACAAAGCTGGTCATATACAGATTTTGCTCTCATGCAGTACAGCTTTAAGAGATAATACAAAGATCCATTCTTCTTGTTTTTGAGTCAGTTCCCCATTCGGCCTCACTAAGGTATAATCGACAAATCGAAATTAAATATACAGTCAGCCCTCCAAATCCATGGCTTCAACCAACTTCACATAAAATTTTTTTTTTAAAATTGCTTCTGTACTGAACACGTACAGACTTTTTTCTTGTCATTATTCCCTAAACAATACAACATAACAACTACTAACATAACATTTCCATTAGATTAGGTATTCAAAGTGGAGATGACCTCAAGTATTTCAAAGGATGTGTGTAGGTTATATGCAAATACTGCACCATTTTATGCAAGGGACTTGAGCATCCCTGGATTTTTGTGTCTGCGGGGGGTCCTGCAATCAATCACCCACAGATACTAAGGACTCCCTGCATTTATGATTTACAATGTGATGTTTTGATATATGTATACATTGTGAAATGATTAAATTAAACTAATTAACATATCCATCATCTGACTTGTCATTCTTTTTTTTTTTAGTGTGGTGAGAACACCGAAGATCCACCTGGTTGCATGTCTCAAGTATACAATACAGTGTTATTCGTTTTGGTCACCATATTGTACACAAGATCTCCAGAACTTATTCGTCCTGAAACTGAAATTTTGTACTCTTGGACCAACATTTCCCCTCCCCTGCCCCAAGCCCCTGACACCCAAGTTTAGAGGAACCAAATGCCCTGCTAACACCTGGCTCCTCTCTTTCTCTTTTCCTGCCTCTAGGCCAGGCCCTGAGGAACACTGAAGCCTGCTGACTTGGGCATCACAAATTCCTATATTTTTTATGACCTATATTTTCACCAGTGCAGGGGTTTCCAACTTTACCTCTATCAATACTTAGGTCAGGGTATTTCTTTTTTGGTGGGGTTAGGACTGAGGGTGCTATCTGTGTGCTGTACGATACTCGGAAGCATCCCTCCTCATCCACTAAGTACCACGGGCAGCCCACAGTGTGACGATGAAAATTACCTTCATACATCACCAGTGTCCCCTGGGACAGTGGGGAAATGGCCTTCAATTGGGGACCTTTCCTCTGACTTTTGTTTTCATCTGGTGCCTCTCAGAAGCCAGATCCCCCATTCCACCCTGCTGTCCAGCTTATCCATAGCACCATTCCGTGCTGACCCCCAAACCCAGCCCCTGCACCTCCCTAACAATCACCCTGAGTTTCAGTTTTCAGCTACTTTTCCCTTCTCCTCCCAGAGCACTCCACTCTGTTACAGCATTTGTCACCTTGTTTCCATATTTAACTATTTCACAACCCACAGATTTAAAGAAATCCTGTCATTTACACAGTCTAAATGCCTCCTCTTACGGTTGAGAGAGTATGGATTGAGGCCTGGGTTTGTATGCCAGAGTCAGCTGCC